CTGACTGTACGAGGTGGACTGCCACCACTTGACCACTTGCCTCTGTCTAACGTAGGCTGACTCCGAAAGGCCACTTCTAGAACTCTCTGTTTTGGGCTTTCGGTACTGTAGCAGCTACGACTTTGCCCTTTCAGGTAAGTAGCAGCTACGACTTTGCCCTTTCAGGTAAGTAGCAGCTACGACCTTGACCCTTCGGACAGTCTACAGCTACGACCTCTAGACTGTCTAGACCTCTACCCGACAGGTCTACAGTTCGAATCTCCTCTACCCTGTAACCTACAAAATCCTACCTACCACTGGCGGTCCTACAGGTCGCAGGTTCAAATCTACGGGTTGACACCGGTACTGTACACAGGTAAGATGGGGAACTAGGGATCGAGCCCTGGGATCTGCATCAGCTACTGCAAACTGGTGAATATTGTTTCATCATTGTGCCTCTCTCAACAAATAAATGAACAGAGGAGATCACGAGAGAAAGGTAGAGAAGGACAAACAAACAAGACATGGTGTCAGACGCAAAAACGGCTCTTCATAAAAAAGGACATGGAAACAAAGGAAAAACAAAACTGGTGTCATCCATTGCTTCTTCTTCTTCTGAGTTTGAATCCTGTCAGGTAAGAAATGAGGAAAAAAGCAAAAACAAAAATGGACTCACAAGGTTCTGCCAATCCACCATCAAGTCACCCAGGGGAAATTGCATAACGTTTACCTTGAAAGCATGGACAATGCATAAGCGGACTGGCTGCTCCATTTCGACCTCGCTCAAGCGCTTCTGTGCAACTGCCTCAAGGGCATCTTCAGGCCACTCCTGCATTTGATTCAAAATTCATAAAAGTGCACATATCCCGATTAGCATTACACTGATAACACCAGTGTTGTGTTTGCGGCATACACAAGGAGTGAAATTCAGTTCCTGCATTCTGTAATCTGAAAAAAGGTTCGCTCTAGGCAATGCATGGGCCTAGCGATGATTAAGGGAAGCTTGGTGTATTTCCACATGGTTCACCCTGTGATTCACCTACCGGGATTCAACAGACACACATTGAGTCTCATGTAGAAGGGCAAACTCGCCCAGCTGATACCAATGACTGGAAGTTGTGAACCGCATAGAAACTTCTGAGAGAAATATTCATCTAACCCCTTCCAGGACAGGACGGGACTAATTTGGACTGCGCCTGAGCCTCGTCGGAGGCACCATCGCTCCTCTGCTCCACATGATGGCATGGACGGCATAACCGTGTGATGCATCATTGCAGCAGCAATTTCCAACATCCACTAAAACGTACCAGGAGACGATGAAGAGAGTGAACGGAAAGAGAAAGAGAAGAAGATCGAGAAAGAGAGAGAAAACCTTTGGGCAGAGGAGGATAGTGACAAGCAATGAGGAACTGAAAAGCAAATCCTCACAGATACAAACGCTGGTCAGCACTTGCACAAAACCAGGAAAAGCTAGAGATGCGTACACAGACTCTCGTTGCTGTTGTAGACTCATAAAGAAAGAGCAAGAGAGGCTACGAAGAGTAAGAGTAAGGTGGAAAAAGAAGAAAAGCAGAAATAAAGGTGGAAGAAGGGAAAAAAACAGAAATAAGTGAACAGAGCAACAGAGAGAAGCCCAAAGAAAGAGCGAGAGAAGCTAAGAAGAGTAAGAGTAAGGATGGAAAAAGAAGAAAAGCAGAAATAAGTGAGCAGAGCAACAGAGAAAAGCCCACAAAAACAGACTAAGAATTCAAAAAATTCTTGAACTCCCAAATGCAACTTCCGGCCTCGCCACACCATTCTTGAAACCTTGAAATCTTTCAAGAGCTGTCAGACATAGTTTTATTTTTTCCAAAGATTTTTTGGCCCTTGGCCAGACAGTACTCTTGAAAGAGGGAGTATCCTGGACAATCCACATATGCGACGATTTTAAGCCTTCGGCATACCTGCATGTGACCCCTACAGCACACATGTGCCTGCCCTAAGTGAAGGCGGGCACCCAAATCTGAATGAGGCCTGAATTTGTCAATTTTGCAAGGCCTTGGTGGGCGCCAGACTGTTACCACGTGCCAGTTGGTTACAGCCGCCCTCCTCGTGAAAATCAGAAACAATGGTGAGCCTTGCAGGCTCTTCTGGCAACGCAGTGGAAGCAGGGAACACCTCACGTTTGCGCTTGGGTGGTTGGGCAGGCCTAACCAATTCGGTCCCAGGTCACTGTCTTAATGGGCCTGGGCACAGACACTTGGCCCAACCTGAAGCTACTGGGCACACGCGAGGCTAGGCCAGGCTGCCATCGGGCCAGGCCACTTCACATATAGCAAAGTGCCTGGCCGTGAGTCGGGCATTCGGGCACTTGGCTCAATCAGCGCTGCTGGAGCAATTGCCCGTGCCTGCTAGCTAGCGCTAGTGCTTGACGCGCGGCCCGGGCGTGGGGTGTGTGCCATAGTGTTACATGCTGCGCCGGATCACGGGCCCCA